TTGTTGAACAATGCATGTGACTTGGGACGGCAAAAATCATCGTCGAAATTTTCCATGGAGATCGTTCAAATTGTAGCACTAGCGTTTGCAACAACATATTAAGCTGAAATTCGGAATATACTTAGATGATATAAGTGTTCAACTGCTCGTGAAATAACAATTTTGAGAAATTCCTAGAAATAGATATAAATACAGAGATTTGGGGAAGTTTTCGAACGATTTCTTCCAGACTTGAAGGTCAGCTATACCAGTAACCAGTATTGACGTTTCGGCATCGATGACGGCGATTTTTTCACTGACATGAAGCTAAGAATTTCTTCTTCCGTTATAATTTAACTATTCAATCATACTGTGCATATTTTTTGAGAAACACAACGTTCCAATGGCCATGTTTTTTGTGGTGCATGAATTTCACTGCTGTGCTGTAGCGTCTAAATACGTAATCGGATTAGCTTTGCTTAACAACGGCAGACGCTTTGCCTTAGCGACCACATGACTGTTTATACGTAATTCCATTGTTACGCTCAAGCGCTTTTCCCTATATAATATATCTTTCTTCTCGGTTGAGGATTTGAACCTCGCTTACCCACCCTCCCCAAAAATTACCCTCCTAAAGCTAAAGGCATGGATCAAGGGAGTGCACCCTCGGTCAGTATCCTAGGATGCAACCACGTTTCCTCTTTTTCGTGGCCTCCGAGTGCCAGCAGATACTGGACAGATACCAATCGCCATGTTTGCAGCAACAATTTTTGTAATTGTGCAACCAATTACCGTACTACAGTTTAGTGCATGTTTTACCTTTATGGGTTGTCTTTTTGAGACATGGTTGATTCACAGCTCAGTGGATGGTTTGAAACCATAATTCCGCAACGTTTCAGCGTTAAAGCTGAGAGACTTTTGTCGGTTCTGTATTTTTTTTTTCTGACAGAAATATGGATCAAGTCAAAATCTTCACTAAAAGACCCCCACCTACGTAGCCCCGCCACCGATGCACTCCCTAAGCTGTTGGTGTCGGCTAAAGCAGATTCTACGACAGCCAAGTACAAAGCAACATGGAATCGCTGGGAGACATGGGCAAACTCAAAGACTGGCATCAAAGCTTTACCAGCAGACTCCTATCACCTATGCCTCTACATGTCACATCTGGCAGCATCTTCCGGAGCGAAAACAGCAGCCGTCTCCCTAGCAGCAGCTGTCAAATGGGCACATGACTTAGCCGGCTTGACATCACCAACGGAACATCCCATGTTTAAAACCGCCCTCCAAGGCTACAACCGCACCCACGCCTCACCTGCTACCAGGAAAGAACCTATTCACTCCTAACATCTTGGATAAATTAGTAGTTCGTCACGGACACTCAACTGCAACATTAGCAGCAGTGTTGGAGGTCTCGAGGCCGACCTCGGCCTCGAGGCCGGCCTCGAGGCCGATTTTCATGGCCTCGGCCTCGGCCTCGGCCTTGGCCTCGGAGGTGCAATGCCTCGGCCTTGGCGTCGGCCTTGGAGCCTTCCGGCCTCGGCGAATCGGTCAAGGCCGGCTCGAGGCCGCCCATTTTGATGTGTTTTCTATTCTAATTAATTTATTTTTTTACCGTATCAAACCCTCGAGATTCTGCCGCATTGGGTTCCGTGAAACGAACGCATATACAATGTACGCACAAATGAACTGGAAATGGTTGCATTGAACATACTCACGTACGTAGCATCTTCGCCTAGCCTGAGCTCCAGCTTTCCACGTGCGTGCAAGCGTTATAACTGTTACCGCGTGCCAGACTACATAAGTCTGGCACCAATCCCATTTGCGTACAATAACATGTGGTAGTAGACTAGTCTGGTTGCAGTGTTGTACAAAAATTTCTCGTTTCGCCTCTGTACCCTGACCTTTAAAAATGATTTGCGGCAATTAAGGTGCGGCAAGCTTAATCATTTCTTTTTATAGGCCACTGTTTCAGTAAAAGTCTGAATTTTCTGGGTACGATTGAGTGTACTAGTCCGTACCATTTTTTTTCATAAAGATATGATCAAAACAATTACGATTTATCAAGTAGATTTTATTTTTACACGGTGATTTAAAAGAAAGTTCCGGCTCACACGGTAATGTTTGGCGCAAATGGTCGATATGGAAAGCGCGATTTCAGAATTCGTTTTTCCATCCAAATGAATGCAAAGTTCTGAATGAATGTTTTAATAATTGGAGTCAGTATTCCTCGTGGTACCAGGATACTTTTTTTTGTATTTTTAGATACTTATTACTTTTTAGATACTTATTTTCGATACTTATTACATGTATAAGCACGGTTTGAAATTGACTAATTTTGCGTGGTTACAGATATACGGCCAAAACCTCTGGACTCCCTACCTCTTGCCATGATCTTAAAAAGCTTCGAAGCCATTTGATTCAAATCGAATGATCAGAGAATTCATGGTAATTTTGATGAACTGAGTGATATCATGCACGCATGATCCGTGTTGCCGTGTTGTTTGGAGCGGGATTGGCCATTGCCAGACTTTGTCTGGTACCGCGGTATTAACAGTGTTAAACTCCACCCGTGACGACACCCTATTGTCCTAGCGCTCCATTGTTTTGCACGAATGGAGCGTTGGAGGCGATACCTCTCCATTCTTTTGGAAGGTAATAAAGCCTCCATCACTCCATTTCTACAAAATAATGGAGCGGGAAATAAAGAAACACCAAAAATGACACAGTTATAGTTTTGCACAGTTTCAACTTTACTACACCGTTTCTCAATAATGATTTTTATACATTTTCTTATACATTTCGTATAATGCTTACGTAAGTCCAGAACCATTTTTTTTCTCATACAGAATTTTTCATAGGCCCTACACCGTTTGTCAAATGGAATTTTAGGCATCATTCGTACATTTACGTGAAAGTCAATGACCATATTTTTTTATACAGTATGCTACACCGTTTCTCAAATAGAATTTTATGCATTTTCGTATACAATTTCTTACAGTGTTGAGGCGAAAGTCAAGAACCATTTTTCTCTTGTACAGAATGTTTGCACAAAGTAATGTTACATGTACCTCGGGTATTATCCTTTAACTGATTCAACCATGGATGTAGGAATCAAGCAGGCCATGTCTCACGCCGCCATCGATCAGATAACACAAATATTTGTGTTTTTTTAAGTGCTAAGCATCGCTAAGTTACGATTCTTACTTCATTTGAAAGCGCTACCTTTCCGAAACATTTGCTGCTCTTTTTATTCACAGGGCATGGTAGGAAGCTGCCCAAAATGTCTTACATTTCACCAGGTAATTCACGAAATTTAACTTTTATCCGAAATATGAAAATATTAATTACTTGCCAAACGAATTATTGTCCAATTTTTATCGTTTAAAAGATGATGACAAAGATTTTCGTTGCGCATCCGAAACACAAGACCCCGATAGCGTGCACACACTCTAAAAACAACTTAGTCAAAATATTGACTGGTTTTCCCAGTTCTTGGAAATTGACTAGGAAGTTAGTTAAACAAGCAAAGTTTCATACTATGACTAGAAAAGTAGTTGGGTTCGACTCCAATTTCAGTTTTTGCATAACTATTTTTCCAAAGTCAATAATACTGACTGGAAAAAATCTAGTCCGATTGACTGATATTTTAGTTGCACCCAGCTGACCCTGAATGGCTAGTACAATTTGACTGGTTCCTAGTCAACTCTGACTAATGCTTTTTTAGAGTTAGTCTGGTTCCCAGACCAAAAGATTCCGACTATTCCTGATGAATCTTAGGTCAGGTAGCCTCCGGTAATACAATGTACTACAATTTACATCACGTGACTAAAACGGGAGGAATTACTCCTTTTTCCGAAAATGTCCGAAGTTTGCCGAATTCATTTCGTCGACTATCGGATAGTGTCCGAGTATTTCCGAGTATAATATAGGTTTTATTAACTGCTAATTGCTTATTAAAAACTTTAAAAAACTAGTTGATAATTAATATCCATTGCTTTTATTTAGAAAACTTGAAATTCAACGACGATTTTGCACTCGGATCGTATACCCGGGGCAATGTTTTTGTGCGTCATGCACTAGTTTGAATTTGACGACCGTTACCGGCATTTTCCAAAACTCGGCGTGGTCTCAATTCGGCTCCGCCTGCTTACAGTGCTGTTTGGGTGTCTAACTTTGAAGATTCCAGGTAAAATTAGTCAATGTTTGCTTACAGAAGTATTAAACTGTATATCATAACTGTATGATATATGAAGCAAGTGATTTATTTTTAAAAAAATGATCGGAACATTAAAAGCTTTATGTGATAAAGCGAATTCGGAAACGAAGCCGAGCTTTGAAAAAGGGCCGTCAATGTCGTCATGTTTATTTTTAGCCACGGAGGCTGCCTGACCGCGTAATTTTTTTTCCTAGGAGGGTTAGGGGCAATGTCATGAATAATTCATGTTTATCCATGAGAACGGACAATGACATCAACAGCATTGTTGTTAGTTACTCAACTAGTTACATTACATTAAAGCATTTTAAAGAACGGTTGTCGTCGAGCTACCACACAGTAGCCTAATGGATAGCGAGATGAGCTATGGATACAAAGATCCCTGGTTCGAATCCACGTCGACGCTGCTCATTTTCATCAGCTATTTTTCTTCTCCAAATTTATCACTGAGATAATTTTAAATTAAGGGGAAAATAGAACGAGAACCTAAGTCTTGCAATGATTCAAAGGAAAAACTGAATTATTCATGACATTGCCCCTAACTCTCCTAGGAAAAAAAATTACGCTGCCTGACCTACAATTTAGACGTGTAGACGTCGGGGGAAATTGTCAGGTCGGGGAACCAGACTATTTTAGAGTGCACGCTCAAAACGTACTGCGCATTTCCGAAGTAGGCCTATATATTTGATTGTTGGATGGTAGGAAGTACAGTACGTACTCCAGTCAGGCTTCTTTGGAAGTGAACGGAGCTAGCGGTCGGCATTAGACCACGGTAGCGTTCAAGGGGATCATAACAGCGGTCGTTAAAATGCACAGGCGCCGCGCGATATCCCATAGCTTGCCACAGTGGCCAGGAGGGTTTCGTGCTAACTCCTATTCCTACCTCCTTGATTCAAAATTATTGTCACGACACGGATTGATTTGCTTTTGCACTATTTCACTTTTACTTTACATTACCTTGTTCCACTCTTTCAATCGTTGTGATGGGTCTCGGCAGAAAAATCCGTCGCCTAAGCGACGATGGCAAAGCTATTCTACGGATACCACCGATACGGGAGTTACAACCACAGAGCAATTGAAAGGAACAGATTCTGCAACACATGGATTTTCCTTGACACTAGTAATCCGCATGGCAGCCGTACCAAAACTGGTCCAGCGTCTGTACTGCATATTCCTCCGTTCCTGTACCTTATTTTGGTCTCCCAAGCTAGGCCCCGTCAGCCTGATTCTTGACAAGGAATCAGAAACAGATCATCAGTTTGCACGTAAACTGAGACAACAGGAGAAAGATTTGGGCCTCAAGTTTGACTTCCTGTATGAGCCACTCCCTGATATTGCCTCGGGCTGGACTAAACATCCAGGTTACCAACGTCAATTGTGGAGTAGTTTCTTCATGGATCTATTCATCAATGCTTCGATCATTGGTGTGACTGATTCTGACGCGGTGTTCACGACGCCAGTGACTCCTGAAAACATCTTCAACGGCCATCGATTGCGAGTGTTAGCTTCCACTAACACGAAGCTAATGCACGCGCGCAGAGGCTGGTATAAACCAACGCTACTTGCCATCGGGAAGGGTATGGTTGCTGACTTCATGACGTACTTTCCTTCCTACGTCTGGAGAGACACCATCACCAACTGCAGGAATCACATAATGAAGCACATGAACGTAAGCCAAAGATTGTTACTTAATTTAAAAGGAAATAATTCTACAGTGGACATCACATGACACCCTCAGTCATGTGCACAAACCCTAATTCAGACTGGTCTGAAAACTTCCAAGTGTTTTACTCAGTAAATGCTTCAATATTTTCCCTGCTAAATTTAACTTTTACATGTTATCGCTTTCTGATGGCTGATAGGTCATGCACTGCATGGGAACATTTTAGTCCGCAAATTTGGGACTCATCTCCATCTCCATCTCCATTGTTTAAAGAGGTTGTGGAATGCTGAAAATCGTTTTGTTTTTTATATTTTTATATTGAAGGGTAGACCCATATATATATCATAATGACAAACTCCCATCTTTTCTAATGTGCGTTTATATGTTTATAAATTTGAAATTCATCGAGTAATTTGTTGGTCGGCGAGCGCATAATTGAAATCAACAGTCGTCAGGCTCTTCGTAAAATCAGAAAAAGCGTGACGTAATAAACAGGACTCGTTCTGCTGCCCAACCCGCCCCGTCAGCACGTGTGACTCGCAGTCAAGCAGTGAAAAATCAACATTTTGTAAAAGACTCGCGGAGATTGATATTCCTTCCCATTGCTTAATTTTTGGATGGGTATATTGAACAAGGACACAGTGACCTCTGAGCTGTTCTTCCGTATAAATTTGAGCCCAAACTGCCCGAAAAAGAGACCAGCGAAAACACGGATACTGCAACTGGCCAGCTGAAAACGCCAGGCAACGCGGCTCTGATGAGTGGTAGGTCTGCGACGTTTGCATGAAAAAAAACCAGCTGCGTTTTATCCAAGGACTCAAGTATTATGTTCATGATAACATTTTTAGATGAGCATCAACAGTCCTTCCGCAACTTTCTTCGTGATTTACAGACAATCTCAAACGTTATTCTGGTGAATATTCAGTCCAAAGAGACGTTGTCAGGTTGTTTTCGAATTATACGCGTACGGCACGCATAACGCATCACGGCAGTGGATGTGGTCGACCGTGTCCAGAACTAATGTAGTACGGTTGAGCAGCGTCGCGGGCCCCGGTCAAGTTCCTTGCGTTGCCAGGTGCTTTTTATGTATACGTTCGCCACAAAAAATAGTCCTCTTCTCATTTCTTTCCTTGTGCATTTTAACCCTTGTTTTAACATCCTGAAACGATAATTACGAATTTACTTGAATTTTGAAATTGTTAACTTTATTGTTTACCAAAAAAAAGCCGTAAAACAACGCCAGGAGACCATGGGACTACCGCTTCACCTCGACCTGTAAACGTGGCTACAATTCATAAATCATAGTCATGCTCCGTTCATAAAACAAAAATCTCTGGACTTACGACATGTTCGGGATCCCGGTTGAAAACAAAATTCACTGGTCCCGAAATTTAACGAGCACTATCATTATTTTCAGTACCTAATTAAGACTTTATTCAAGAAATTCCAGTGGCAAAGAATTTGTCATTCGTTCAAAAGAAGTTCTAGGGAAAATGGAGGCCTGTCACATTAATCAGCACTAACGTAAGGAAAACTACGCGGTCCTTTTTCTACGCATTTACCTTCAATTTGTGTGTGACAACGCGTGCGCGTATGCTGCGCAGATAATGGAGGGTCGAGGATACATTTGAACGGGTCTACGGTTCTTCAAGATTGGCAATGGACAAATGGTCCAAAACAGTCTTCCCTATAAATCATTAACAAATCATATCTCTATTATTTCTTGTCCAATTTCAACAAATCTCTTGAGAAAAGAAGACTCTTGCCGTAAAAAATAAACAGTGCATAATCAGCGCTCTATCCGTTAATTTGGCTGAAATCCGATCTCGTGTTTAGCACGGTAGCCTACCCTTCGGACAAACTGCATGGCTGCGGAGGATTCTTATTCTTCCATGCTGACAACCGGACGGGAAAGCTGGAAATTTATTGCAAACAAAATGTGGTGTGATTACAGCCAGCAACTGACACAATTATAGGCATATAGGTTTGCCTTGGCCTAGTGCGTTCGCTACCCGTACGCGTATCAACAACGAATTATTTTGAAATTCCAACACCGTTTACCGGTGTCAAAATCTACGGTCCCAGCGGCCGGGCCAGCGGCACAAGTACACCCGTGAGTTTCCAGCCAGCTTTACATAGCGCGTGTCACGGTGATGCGATGTGAACGATCGAACGATGTTGATGTAACGCAGACATTTCTTACTATGGTTGGCCGTTAGGGCAACTACACAAAAGAATGATCCCCGATCTATAAATAAAATGATGTGTAACTATCAAAACACTGAATAATCAATAGAAAGTACCAAAAAGTCAATGGAGATATCTTCCTATTAAATTCTGAACTTGCCCATTAGAATTTCGGGGGTAAAAGCTGTTGTCAACTATGGTTGAATTTATGGAATGCTGGCTGCCCATACAAAATGTCGCTCAGTGTAATTGTAAACAAAGTCATGTCGTTGCGCGGAGTGAATTGCAAAAAGTTTCGCTGGAACTACGTAGGCAACCTCGTCCCCAGTGCTTACTTTATTTCCAACCGCGTTTCCAATAGTAAACCCTGGATAGGAAACTTTCTTCCTGTATCCTGATTGGATACCGCAATTGGCTAGTAATGGATTTTTATCGTGTACTTGGTGCTATATATTCACAACGTGCAGTACGCGTTTTCGCGATCATTCGTCCACGCCTTCTCGAAAATACTAATTTCCTTTCCAATTTTCTCATATTAATATAAAATATGATACTGCATGTTGTATCGATAAGATCGTAACAGTTTGATTTCAAAAATCGTGTTTTCGTAACTCACGCCGTGCTCGCGCTGCTACGAATTGACTCTGTTTTTACCCCAGACACCGCATACAAAAACAAACGCTAATGTGTAACGCATATCCAGGCACCCAGACTGTTCCTCATTTGCATACGTGTGCAAAAATCTTGCACATGCAAATGATCCAATACCAGGGTGAGAGAGCAGGTAGTGGTGGGCGCGTACTGTTCGACACCCTGGGGACGAGGTTGCTACGTACGCTGCATGGGAGTCCTGTTAATTACGTCACGATTTACTATGTTTTGTTTGCTGCCCCCAACGACGACTTTTACACAAATTGCACGTTCGGGTCGAAACAGGGCCTGAAAAACAGCTCTCAAAAGTACCTTTTGTATTCATTTCATGACAGAAACAATAGTCGTTTTTATTTCATCACACCCTAGGCTACATATACCCGAAAAATGACGGAAATGTCTTCGAGCATTCCACAACCTCTTTAAGTCAGCAACATATCCTGCCGGATACATCAACGCTAACTGCGTATGAGAGTCCCAAAACTTAAGCTTTCCATATCGTGCAAAAGTTTGTGCTGCATAATAAAACCAGTGTGAATCAAATTTGCAAGCTTTTTACTCACTACAGTTGCCTCAATGTTCCCCAAAACGTCTTTGCTCGTACCCCCCCCGCCCCCCCCCCCCCCCCCCCCCCGCCCCCCCCCCCCCCGCCCTGCAAACAGGACGCTGAGATACTCTGATGAATTCACGCTCTGATTAGTTGGATTTTGCGTGAAGTCTTACCTGCGCGTCATCACGGTCATGACTCTGCAAGGTTTGAAACGGCCGTTAAGACTGATTCATTACTCTTTTATTCCAGTTTAGAAAGTTTTTTTTTCGTTGAAAAGCGTAATAATGTAGGAACATCTTTAAAACTTACCTGTGTTGTACAATTTCCGTCACTTGCTCAGGCTCAATTTCGAATGACGAACGGTCGGGATTGCATTACGGCGACGCTCAAAATTGTGTCCACATGGTCGATCCGCAATGAAACAGAAATCACATCCGGTATGGAATGCGCGCAATTCTATGGGAAGTTTCAGATAGCATTTGCGCACATTGTCTAAATGCGGTCTTGAACAGCTGCAGCCAGATGCTTTATACATAGGTCATAGGCCACTTCCTTCACAAGATTCTGTGAAGCTCATCAGAGTATCCCAGCGTCCTGTTTGCAGGGCGGGGGGTACGAGCGAACGAAACGTCTGCCTCGCAAAGTTGCTATTGTGAGCATTGCATCACCAAAAATTCAGCTTTTAATACTAATTTTGCAGAGAGTTATCGAAATCCAAACGTGAGACGTTGATGTGTACTGCAATGCATTGTGCAAAAAGACTCTTCAGCTATAACGATTAACATCTTCATTGTGTAGATAAAACAGCGCCCTCTTGTTGATCCAAGTGAATGCAAAATGTTTCATTTTTTAACAAAGGGCGCTATGTTCTTTTGGCCATCGATTAAAAAACAAGTAAGCTGCAAGGCACTTCGTGCATCTACCCAGAATACTTTGTGAATCACACGCACGTTTCTAGATCATGGAGAATGACGTGGATGGTTTTTGAGCTGCCAAAAACTTGCCTTAAAATTGGATTTAAGGTCTCAAATTTCGCAGGTGACATGCTTGCAACTATAGCATTTTGATGTATGTGTTGTGTGGGCATTAATTAGCCGAATGGTGAGTAAACAAATGTCAGTAGTAATTTTGCACGTTTTCGTGCACTCACGGTCCCAGTCTGGGGAAAATGAGTGATGTCCATGTATGGAATTCTTCCAACATCTTTATTCTAATTTCAGTCCACAAACCATAACATTAATGTTGCCCGTTGAAGTTGAGGAACATTTTTGAATGGGCTAAATGTTTCCCTGCCCAGCGATTCATGACTGATAATATCTTTAACAAACAAAAGGGCAATTGTCACACGCTGCATTTTATTTAGTGTGACAAAACATTTTGTGGCTTAATTTATAATAAAGCAAATTTAACGGCGTTGGGCCCCGAAAAATATTGTATTCTGGACGCTCTTTGTTGCGATCCTAGGCAAAATTAAGTTAGAATTTAAACAAATATCAACAATAAATAAAACATAAAAATATTGACTAAATAAAAATAAAAGTAAACTTATATTGTACTTTAAGTAAAAATTTATAATCGCCACTTTACATTAAATTTAAAAAAAAAATCAGTGCGGCAAATTAAAAACAAATACACAGAGAACAGTTCATGTGAAAGATTTAAGAATTAACAAAATACTGAAAGGAACGTCAAAATAATAGATTATTTATTAAAACTCATGTACTGTCAAATTATTTCGCACCAGGCACGTACATTATGCCCATTGCTTTTCATTTTAAAGTGAACTGTTGCTTTCAAACATCTATTAGCCCCGTCTATACATAGAACTGTTTGCAGAGGCTATTCACAACAAAAACTGTACATTCCTAAAATAATCTATGTTGATTTGAACAATAATCTACACTTTTAACAATAGTGTGACGTCACAAAAATAGGTTAATAAGATTGAATTTGCGTCGGGGTGATGTAAATCAATGTTAGGTTTTGCCCTTGACCGTCTTATAAACACTTGTATACTCAGTGTGTTACCTCCCAAGTGAACTAAGTTGAAAAAAATCCACTCGGATGGGACTCGAACCCGCGACCTCCTGTTCTAGTGCAGACGTGCTACCACTCGACCACCGAGCTTGCGTACATGTAGCAGCGGGAAACACTTTTAACTATTCATAAGATGGAATTCGTGTCGGGTTGATTTAAATCAATATTAGGTTATGAATAGTTAAATGCTGTACCCGCTGCTACATGTACATAAGATTCGATCCAGCCAACTGATCCCGCAAGCTCGGTGGCCGAGTGGTAAGACGTCTGTACTAGAGAGCAGGAGGTCGTGAGTTCACTCGGTAGGCAACACACGGAGTATAAAGTGTTTATACGTCGGTGAAGGGCAAAATCTAATCGTTTTCAAGAATGAACAATAACAAAGAAATGGTTTGTCAGAGTTCATTTGAATGGTACGTGACTTGGCTTTTGACTGAAGAACTTGCGATGGACTTGGTGAGGACTTTTTAAGGGCCCATGCAATGTAATTTTTTCTTAAAGGCTATCCTTGAAAATGCACCTTTGTGTCCCATTTAACCTCATTTTCAATTTTCGTTTTGCCTTATTGGTTTTTATGCTAATGCCAATTTCCATATTCATGAGCAAATTTGTGATGTCATTCCGGGCAAGAAACCTCAATGTTACCGTTATTTCAACACCAAAAGGTACCAGAATTTTGGAAACATGTATTTCGCTGTCATAAATTTCATTTTCTTTGGTGATTCGTTGTTGTGTGTAAGTCCATGGTAGTAAGCCAATGAACAACCCTTTGTCACCCAGTGTTTTCAACGATTACATTTTGGGTTCACAATTTGAACAGAATACCCCTAAACTGAACAGCATCTTCCTGAAATGACATCACGGCAACAGCGCCCTCGGTTGTCCGGAAAAGCATGGATAATTTTAAATGTTAAAAGAAGTGCACTTGTTAATAAAACTATCCAAAAATCGATGTCAAATAGTTTTATACATTTATGAGGAGTGGAAAGTGGCACATAATGTGTTCCTAAGAAAAATTCATCGCTTGGACCCTTTTTATAGTAGGCCTATTTAATATGATGAATTCGACTCCTGTTTAACACCGTGGAGCAAAATGTCTTTTGCAGGTTTCCAACTTTGAGGACGCCTTTCGCAACCTACCTAACCTAAGCCCCGTCAACGTCATCATGAATTACGCCTACTACTTCGAGCACGACCGTTACGACTGGCACTTGGATTTCACGGAGACTTTAGAGGACTTCAATGCACATCTACCTCCAGGTGTTAGCATTAATGCGAGTGAGATGGAACCAGATGTACACGTCACCATACACGAGAGTTACTACAAAAAGCGCCCATACCCATTACTGCAGGGATATTGCATCGCCAAGCGCTATGTTGGTACTCTTCCCGCAAGCTGCCTCAAATTTGACAATGTCACAAACTTTCAGCTTTTTGAGTTTCAAACTGGCAGGTTACGCAGGGAACATCTCAGTCCTGGGACCTGGTGTTCGGGCAACGGCCGCCGAGAGTGTATTCGACTCATCGAAGCGCACTACCAGAACGTCAAGAAATATCACAAGCTGGGGTGGTATGACCTGGATTTGAGACGCATGACTGCCGTTGAGAAAGCAGCAAGGCAGGAGAATATCACATGTCCAAATATATTCCAATTGGATTAGATGCACAACAGTTTAAACACCCCAATCACAAAATCAATCAAAATGAGGTTTATAATCACATGGATACTTGGTTGGTTTGTTGGAATAGCAACATAACTATACTGTAGTCATAGAGTTTAAACACATTTCTAAACACTTTTTTTGTACCCACTTTTTAAACATGTTTAAATCCACGACATGTTCAGATTGATGTGGATGTCTGCATGTGACATGCTTAGGCACGTACGAAAGCCCATTAGCACCATCAAGTATAAATTATCGGGTTGAAGTCAACTGACAGACTAAATGCATACTTTTCCACTTTCATTATCATCTGTTTACGAAAAACGAATTTTAAATATACATTTGACTTTTTTACAAGTTATTATCAAGTTATTATCAGACGAAACGTGAAAAAAGTGGGTACAAGAAAAGTGTTTAGAACTATAGCACCATTTTTATAGTGTAGATATTGACCGTGTAAGATAAACAAAAAATACAGTCAATAAAAAAATACTGGCATTCCATTAAGCTAACATCGTATTCATAGCGAATGGTCGATTAAAATTCGTATAAAAATTACTGATGTGCTGAAGTAAACACTGTTGACGAAGGTTTTTATTAATTCTTACAACGCGTGGAGTTCATTGTACATTTCATTGTACATTTGTTTATTTCTTAGCTGTTGTTTATTTCTTTGTCATTTCATTGTACATTTGTTTATTTCTTCTTAGCTGTTGTTTATATCTTACACGGTCTTTTCTTTGCTTTTCGTGTTTACAAATTGTGAAAATACTGGATAGCTCGGTTGGTAGAGTGTTCGTAATGCTGGTAATCCGGTGGTCGTAGGTTCAAATCACACCAGGATAATTTATGTGTGCTCATCGTCATATTTATCTGTCGGTGTATTTGTTAAGTAATGTGTTCAACCTATCATGGCGCGCTCCTTCGATAACCAATCAGAAAGCGGTGACTGAAGAAAGGGCGCTGTTAACATTTTTTTATAACATTCATTTTGTCGTCGAGTCTGACTGGCACAACGGTCACCAATGAACAGCTACGTTTCAGCGAATTTGGCACGACGGTATTCAAAGGGTTATTGCAAGACGGAATAATAATACAGAATATTTCACCATGAATTTGAAGGTGGCCTTTTTGACTTTGAGGCAAGGTTTCGATGGCGCAATGTATTGTGAATCCTATTAAGAACACGCCAATGCGTTTACCTTGTAATCGTTTGTAATATCCTACATGTAAAACGGGTCCACCTTGTTTAGTATCATTTCTGATAGGTGGTTATCTGTACCGAAATCTGGTCTCATATAGAGCTGTAATCTTATAAAATATGGACTGCCAAAGCAATAACAAACAAACCTTGTTTAAACCCCTGATGAGTCAAACTAAAAGACACCTTATTCTTGTGTAATATGTTATGCCTGGCGTCTGCAAAGGACTAACAAAAAAGTGTGCGTTTCTATTTTTTCAGTCGGCACACGCTCATTCAGGATGACGATCGCCCTCTATTGGCAGCAAGAGTCTGTCCTCAAGTAATATAGACTTTTGTCCACCCCACCCCCAAAAAATATGGGGACCGGTAGCTAGCACCCATTTAAAGCCATTGATTGGATCACCTCTGCGCGCGCGCATCATCATTGTTTATTTTCAAATCGCATTACACTAGGGGCGCTCTTCCTGATCAATATGTATACTCGCGCTTGCATCAAAACGGCGCATTTAAAAGCTTTTGTACTTTGTTTCTCCACTATTCAGTCCATTTTGGTTGTTGGCATGTTCGAAAAATACCACGAAATCCGCATTTGTTTTTTTCTCATGGCACGAGAAGGTGGGGGATTCAATAGCCCCCCCCCCCTCCGTCTAAAAGACTCCTCATACCCCCGAAATTTACGCCCCTGCTAACAGAAAACAATTTATATCATTTAATTCAATAATATCTGAAGAGCAATCAGTTTCTTGTGGAGTACCACAAGGTTCTGTCTTAGGTCCTCTTTTATTTCTTATTTATATAAACGACATCTGTAATAGGCCTACATCAGTTCTAACATTACATCATTTTCTTTATTTGCAGATGGCACAAGTCTAATGTACAGTCATAATAGTGTGGACACAGCTGTTCATATTCTTAATTGTGAACTTGTAAAGATAAGCACTTGGCTTTTAGCAAACAAACTGTGTATTAATGTTCTTAAATCACATTAGGGCCTATATTGTAATTTGCTCGAGACAGAAAAAATACACTCAAGCGATTCCTTTAGTCATAAATGAGCCTTGAAAAGGTAAATAAGACTAAATTCCTAGGTTTAACTTTTGATGATAATCTAACATGGACAAATCACGTTGATGACGTGGTCAGCAAAATATCTAAAACTATTGGCATAATGAATCGTCTGAGGTTTTTCTTACCTACAAATATCTTAATAACTCTTTATAATTCACTTGTTCTTCTATACTTAAACTATTCCAATATCATCTGGGGTGGGTCTTCTTAAACTGCTTATTCTGCAAAAACGAGCTATTAGAATACTTTCCAATGTTGGTTAGGCCAAAAAAAAAAAGTCTCCGGTTTCTGGTATGCGCGCGCGTCGCCGTAGCCATGCGAGTCGGCAAAATGAAAAAGTTTTTTTGTCAATGAAAGATGATGTCTCAAAACCGCCAAATTCACTGGTTTGACTGGAATCCTGCTGCTGCACAATTTTAACGTGTTTTTAGACTGGGTTATGGTCGAGAATAAGCTTTATGTGGCCTCTCTGGACTCCCATATATTTGCACTAAGTTTAGTCGGGCACCATTTGCAGTCATCAGCCGACATTTGAAGCAAAAAAATCAGGTGGTAAAAAAAAAAAAGCCGCGTCGCCGCACCACTTTTTGGGCAAGCTCCATACCAGAAACCGGAGACTTTTTGTTTGGCCTTATCGAGATCATACGTCACACAATTATTTGCCAATCTTAAAATTATTGTAATTCAATGATCTTAACTATCTCAATCTCGGTAAATTCATGTACAAATATATGAATAATTTGCTCCCTTTGTGTTTCAGCACATGTTTTACTTTAACTTCAAATGTTCATTGTTATCAAACCAGAATTATCGCGAAGAAAAATCTTCATGTTGGCTTCAATAGACGGCAATATTCAAAAATGGAATAGTTCAACGTGGCAGGAGTTTCTGGAATAGTCTAAGTATCCCTCATTTGACAAAAAAATAAAAATAAAACTTCTTACATCTTATTCGTAGTGTTTTAATACTTGTTTACATACAACAATAGCTTAATGATAAGTCTGTTTGTCTGCCATTGTCCTTATTTCGTACTTTGTAATTGTGTAATTGTCTGTAAGTGTCCAACGGGTTCCCGTGTTGTTATGTGGATTTATACATGTATAATCTATTTTCATTATGTTAATAATGGTATTGTGTAAAAATAACTTCGTATTATATTTTGAATGCTTAAATGTTAACATAACAATTTCATGTTTGTAGTGTCATACAACGTTGAAATAAATGTTCAGTAAAGGCCGTATAAACATTACCGGTGTGAATTTCAATTCTGGAGTCGGGATTCTGACCTGTTCCCGTCATGCATATCATTTGCGTACGTCAGGCAGGATGCCGACTGATGTATGGTAGATTTGGTTACAGCCCGATAGTCCGAAGGTTCGATAGTCCGAAGGTTCGATAGTCCGAAGGGCCCATTAGTCCGAAAATAGAATAGGGTGGGAAAGGGTGCGATAGTCCGAATAGACAATACGGTTCGATAATCCGAATAGATGATAAGGTTCGATAGTCCGAATATACCGTAGGGTTTGATAGTCCGAATTGACAATAAGGATCGATAGTCCGAAGGTTCGATAGTCCGAAGGGCCCATTAGTCCGAAAATAGAATAAGGTTCATTAATCCGAAGGCTCGATAGTCCGAATAGACGATAGGGTGCGATAGTCCGAATCGACAATAAGGTTCGATAGTCTGAGCCTTCGGACTATAACCTTATTTTCGTTTCGAACTATTGAACCTTCGGACTGATTAACCTTATTCTAAATTCGGACTACCGAACCTTCGGATAAATGAACCTAATTCGGGCTAATGAACTTGGGATTAATGAAACTTGCAAATGTTCGGATTAACGAACCTTATTTCATTTTCGGACTAACGAACCCCCTCTTATGTTAATTTTGTGCATTCGGACTATCGAACCTTAAGACTAAAGAACCTTTGGACTATCGGACCTTCGGACTACCGGGCGGCCGCCGGTAGATTTACCGCTAGCTATTACCTGTCCCCCGATATTTGAAGTCCGAATGACAATGGGGACAGGGAACCGGACTACAAGTAATGGAGCCTGAAACTGACCCCTGGTGGCGTGCTAGCTTCCGCCGGACCCCTCGAATCGGAAAATTAGCGTGTAAAAGTCGGAGTTTTTAAAAGTATTTTTGGTACATTGATTTCTTAGGAAAATCACCCTCAGAAAAGGCGTTTGTAAAATTGTTACTAGCATCTCAATAATGGGAAACTGAAAAATCTCATGACGTGAAAGAGAGGTGTCTTGCCAAAAATTGACCTCACACTTCCAAAAATCTAATATACATGTGGACTATAGTGGAACTCTGAGCACTTGTACAAAGAGGAACATTTATGAAATAATTAATGTTGTGGCGGTCATTGGTTAAAAACTGAAACTTAAATAGGAGACTAAAATGTCCTAAATATCTTTTGGGACACACAATTTCTTTGAATAAATTGAAGGACTAATTCTCATTTACAAACGTATCTAAAACGACCGATGATAAGAACTGTCTCACGAAAGTACCCGATATGAAAACAAACATGATCGAACAAGAAGACCTATAGGTACGAAAATCCGGATGTGAAAGGTCGTAAGTAAAATTCGTCTTTACCAACCTCCAACTGATTTCTTATCTTTTCTTTCTTATAAAATGCCAAGAGAAAATTCCAACATGAATTTTTCTTGGGGTGATTACGATTAGAAATCATTCTGTCAAAAAAAATTATAGCAAAAGAAAGGGCAACGTTCCCAGTATAAAATGCCCATATAGAAGGGTCACGGAGGGGTCCGGAAGCTCATCGACAAAAAGGCGTACTTAATCAAACTTCAGGTTGCAGACCAGTAAATAAACTTCCAAAGAGCCCAATGGTAAATGCTCCCACTTCAGCAATTCGGGAAAATATACTCACAACTCGCCAAGGTGTTCGAGACACATCAGATTAAAGCTTATTTCATCATCTTTCTTTTTTTCATTTTTTTTTTGGGGGGGGGTGGGGGGGGGGGGTCAACTGATGACTTTTAGGGGAAATTTCCATCCGAAGATGATCACCCCTGAAAATAGTCCTGAAGCCCATCGCCGTTTTGAAAAACGATGCCTACACTCCATTGCAAAATAGAGCGCTTTAAGGGCCCCAATTTCATCCAAATTGAACGGAACTACAAGCTCACTGCAGTCATGTGCACGGCTTGTGACCCATATCTTTTACAAACTCTCAAGTTCATGGCCCACAGCATGCTCAAATACTGAAGATTTTAAGGGCATGCAAATCGTGATCTGGCCGGCGTAGGCAATTTCGGACCGATTTACTGG